ACTCATTTAATTCCAAGTTTAAAATCCTCCGGCCGTCCTCCCGCACGCCACATCGACAACAGACAACGAACAGCCTTAATTCCGCTGTACCCTGGCCGGAGACAAGGGGAACTAAGCGATTCTTCACGTATCAACGAGACTACAATATACCATATATGGTATACGGAGCTCCTTGCATGTCACGTGGTGGCCCGCGTAATCACCTCGAAAATGTAGCAAGCGGCCCCTTCTCTCCATATTGACATTACCGTTGCGAAAGATTACGGTGATTCTGGTGTTCAAGGGCAATTTCAACGTGTCCGCACTCCTGGATAGCTGCTAGACATGCCCTGGCAAAAGAGGAGGAAACCAGCTACAACCATTTTCTTAGGATTAACAAAGAAGTCATACGATTACCTGTAGAGGTGTGAAATACGGACAAGACTAACAAAATTTTGTTTCAGCTGTGTTCAATCGCAACTCCCCCGCATCGCACTCAAGCCTAGCCGGTGCATTGTCGGCCGCTGTTCAGTTTAAGATGGGGGAGGCGGGGGGTAACCCCCGGGTAGTATTCCACAACTCGGTCCGCGTGATTTTATGCACGTGTATTGTCGGTCGAACATCCGACAATGTAATCAACACAGACGATCACGATTTCGGATCTTATTGCAGTATCGTTGACTTAGTGGTTAAGCTAAGCGGGGGTTTCTGTATAAGTGAGGATTCCAGCCCAGCGAGAAAATCATCCCCTTTTAATAGGCCAGCATTTACTCGGCGCATGCAGAATACTAGTCGAGTCAGAGAGGACGTCAAAAAAAACGAGGAAAGCTTTAGCTGGGCGTCTGTATATCCACGGTTGGACGTGCGATGAGCGAATCAAACTTGTCGAAAGTCCTCAGCACCATCATGTCAATGAGATATGATGTTCACCATGCTGACAACATCATCACTAATTTGCTCTGCCACTGTTTATTTGCATCCTCGACTTGTCAATGTTAAAGAAAGACAGAGATAGAGAAAGAGGGAGAGAGTGAGAGGTAAGAGTGAGAGTGAGAGTGAGAGTGGAGAGTGAGTGACGTGAGTGAGTGAGTGAGTGAGTGAGTGAGTGAGTAGGTGAGTGAGTGATGTAGTGAGTGGAGTGAGTGAACGTGAGTGAGTGAGTGAGTGAGTGAGTGAGTGTGAGTATGTTGAGCGAGTGAGTGAGTGAGTGAGTGAGTGAGTGAGTCGTGGGGGGGGGGGGGGAGTGAGTGAGTGAGTGTGACTGAAATGTTATCTTGCAAATTTAATCTATTTACATGTCAGTTTTTTTTTACTTAATTTCTCATTTGTCATTTACAAAGATTTGTCGATATAACCCAGTCTTTAAATAAGAAATAATAATAACAATAATTTATAAAAGTCAGTGATAATTTGTTTGTCAATCAAAAATTTATTTTTACCTAATACGAATTGATTCATTATATCTGCATTTGCTATAGTTATGACAACTAGAATAGACTTTCCGCTGACCACTCTGACCAACGCCAACTTGATTATAGATTATAAAAGTATAATCTTACAACGTTAATGGTGATCTATATAACCTGCAACAGCGCCTGGCAGGCATAAGTTTTCGATAGCTAAAATACACACGCGCGCGCGCACCGCACCCCCCTCCGCCATAGAGAGAGCAGAGAGAGAGAAAAGAGAGAGACGCAGGCACGCGCATACATATACCCATTCCATAGTCAAATAATTATATTATGTCACAGACGAGAACCGGGTTTTGTCACGAATACGGCTGCTCTCCGCGGCAGCACTCCATCGCGGCTATTCCTATTTTTACACACATACACACATCGATATTCTCCGTGATACTCTTGTTTTCACACCCCCGCTGCGCGTGGTATTCCACAGGCTTGAAAACATGCAAAATAAACGAGCCTGTATGCGAAACTAACTTCATTAAAAATTACTTACCTTGGTTGAATGTACACATTGAATGAAAGTCTTCCCTGATTTGAAGTCCACTCTGGCTGAATTTCACTCTGGTGTAATGTCAAGGGTGTCCCAGCACGCACGCGACACACACACACACACACACACACACACACACACACACGCACACACACACACACACACACACACACACACACACACACACACACACACACACACGAACGCGCGCGCGCGCGCGCGACGCACGCACGCACGCACGCACGCACGCACGCACAGCACACACTAACACACACACACACACACACACACACACACACACACACACACACACACACACACACACACACTATTCTCTCTCTTCTGCTCTCGCTCACACACACACACACACACTATCTCTCTCTCTCGCTCACACACTCCACACACACACACACACACACACACACACACGCCACGGCGCACACACACACACACACACACCACACACACACACACACACACACACACACTATCTGTCTCTCTCGCTCACACACACACACTTACACGCACGCGCGCACACTCACACACACACACACACACACACACACACACACACATACCAGCCTGAGCTCTCTCTTTCGTCTCTCTCTCTCTCTCTCTCTCTCACACACACACTTACACGCACGCGCGCACACACACACACACGCACGCACGCACGCACGCACGCCACGCACGCCACACACCACACACACACACACACACCACACAAGCGCACACACACTTGCACATACACACGCACAAACACAATTGTACACACACACACCGGACACACGGATATTGTCTTTTCCTGATATGTGACAAGTTTGACAGGGGACAGTGTAAAAATGTTTAGTAAGGTCATAATAAAAACATTGTTTGTTTGCAATCACCCGACCGACCCGCCAAAACGGTGCCGACTAAAAAATTTGTATGGATCTTTCCCTTTTTTTACAGATTGTATTTTTTACATTATATAAATCTGTAGGCAATACATTATAATATGCTTCCAAGGCAAAACAAACATTCAACATAAAGGGTATCTCCGCACAAGCACACCCGAGCATGTAGACACCATGCATGAATTTGTAAAAAGACCTCCCCCCCCCCCGCAAAAAGCCTACCTACCTACCCAAACTTTTCAGCCTGGGTCGTGTGAGGGCAAACAAATATTTTTTTAATTTGTGGCCTAGCCGAGTATACATTCAACAGCACCACCGTATTGCACCAGTCGAGATGACGACGAGACGCGTAAAATTGTGTTGGTGTTACAACCCTAACCCTAACACTAACTGATATATGTTCAAACTGAGCCGGCCGCGAAATTTTTTCCCACTTGAGTTCCGGACCCACCATAGATAGTGTTTTGTAATAAATGGTTCTTATATATATGGTTGGATTATAGTTAGTGTTACGGTTCGCATACGTGTTAGGGTTCGGGTTATTCATTTTACATTGTTGCTTCGAGGAAGTCGAGTGAATAGAGGTGCGCTGATTGCTGTGGTCCGGAACTGAAGT